CTCTCTCTCTTCCTCCCTCCCTCTTTTTGTGAATATACTGCCGCCATTGAAGGATTAGTGGCCTTTAGTTATTGCCTCCTATGACGTTATAATTTTTTAATGACTCGCTGCAGCGCCCTGATGACTTGTCATCTAATGCGAGACACGGATAGACAGGCTGACGCGTTAATAGGCGTGTGGCTCCCATGAGGCTGCTGATGCTTTTTAAAACTGCAGCCGCGTTGACGATGTAGAGCTGGAAGCCACTCCGTCAAGCCTCGTCCATATTTTTAACTTTTCGCTAGTCGGGTGAGGCGGAGGGATGCGTAGACGCGTGGCAGCATCCTGGCACTATATCTGCTAGGGATGGAGCGTGTTGCACGTAGTTGTGGTAACGATCGTTTCCAGTTGACTCGAATGTAAAGTCGAATGTCGCACGTCGTGTCTCGACCGCTAGCTGTCTCTTTGGGCATCAGCCGTGATTGTTTCAAGTTGGTTCGAATGTGAAGACGATCGATCATGTTTGGTTGCAAAAGTAAACATCAATCAGTGGCGTCACGTGTGATGTTCAGGGTGCACCCTGAGATTGACTTTTCGTTACTCATTGCTCGTAAAAGAGAGAATAAGAGAGGGAAGGAGACCGATTTCTCATAAAACCAGGTGTAATGGCAGCCATCATTACTTGTATTGTCAATAAGCGGATTCTTTATTTGATGTCCTTTATTTCCAGAAACACATGTACATTACATTATACGTTATACAGAATATCTGCAATACTGTGATGGTAGTAGCATATAGTTCAGTGATGGCACAAACAGGTATATATAGCATAAAAAGTTTTACAAAGTAGTGCATATGAGCGTACTAATTACACTTCATTACAAGAAGTTCATAAAAGAAGGTTATCATGCTAGTAGTAGCATATTTAGAATAAGCAGAGTTTTAGCAGTGTGGAGTTTACTGAGCAGTTAATGTGTAATCTCCTCTCCTTGTTTACATGCCATTATTTAGACACGTCTGCATCATGATGTCGTTTCTTTGCGTTTGGCACATGGTCCTGCAATGTGAAGTATTCGTTACATCATACGCATGAATCTACGATGTCTTTCGTTGTTTGTGTCACACACACACACATCACCCTACGATGTCTCGTTCTTTGTGTCACACACACATCACCCTACGATTCTTTCGTTTTCTGTGTCCACAACACACTTAACCCTAACGATGTCTTTCGCTTCTTTTGTGCTCAACACACACATCACCTACCGATGTCTTTCGTTCTTTGTGTCAACACACACATCAGCCTACCGATGTCCTTAGCGATTCTCTTGTGTCACACACACATCACACCCTACCGATGCTTTTCGTTTCTTTGTGTCAACCACACATCACCCTACGACATGTCTTTCGTTCTTTGTTACACACACATATCTCTAGCGATGTCTTTCGTTTGTATTGTAGTCACACACACATCACCCTAGCGATGTCTTTCTTGTTATGTGTTCACGCCACAAGCATCCACCCTAACGGATGGTCTTTCGTTCTTTGTGTCACACACCGCCACCACACCACACACACACACACACACACACACACACACACACACACACACACACACACACACACACACGCACACACACGACACACACAAACACACACACCACACACACACACCCTCACACACACGACACACGACCACACACACACACACGACACCACACACACACACACCACACGCACACATTTACCATCACCACGATGTCTTTCGTTTGTTTGTAGTCAACCACACAGCATCACCCTACGAATGCTCTTTTCGTTTGTTTGTGTCACCACACACACATTCACCCTACGATGTCTTCCGTTCGCTTTGTGTGCTGTCACAACACACATCACTACGAGTTTTTCGTTTGTTGTGCTCCACGCACACATTCACCATACGATGTCTTTCGTTTGTTTGGTCACAGCACCACACATCACCCTACGATGTCTTTTCGTTGTTTGTGCTCACACACACATCCACCCTACGATGTCGTTTCGCTTCTGTTGTGTCACAACCACACATCACCCTAACGATGTCTTCGTTCTTTGTGTCACACACACATCATCCCTACGATGTCTTTGTTCTTTGTGTCACACACAACATCACCGACGATGGCTTTCGTTTGTTTGAGTCACACACACAGCACCTACGATGTCTTTTTTCCCCCCCCCCCCCCTCCCCCACTTCCTTGTGTCACGCACGATGTTACGCACGCACACACACACCACACACACACCACCCACACACCACACACACACACACAACACACACACACACCACCCTACGATGTATGCGTTGCGCCAAGCACCGCACGATCTCACACGATAGCTCTGAAGTTTGTTGCGCAGTCCCTCCTTCAGGCACATGATGTAGTAGCTCACGAGATCTATGATATTCGTTGCAGGCCCTCCTTCAGGCACATGATGTAGTAGCGCACGAGTATCTTTGATATTCGGTTGCAGGGCTCCTTCAGCACAATGATGTGTAGCTGCCACGAGATCTATGATATTCGTTGCAGGCCCTCCTTCAGGCACATGATGTAGTAGCTCACGAGATCTATGATATCGTTGCAGGCCCTCCTTCAGGCACATGATGTAGTAGCTCACGAGATCTATGATATTCGTTGCAGGCCCTCCTTCAGGCACATGATGTAGTAGCGCACGAGATCTATGATATTCGTTGCAGGCCCTCCTTCAGGCACATGGATGTAGTAGCCTCACGAGAGTCTATGATATTCGTTGCAGGCCCTCCTTCAGGCACATGATGTAGTAGCGCACGAGATCTATGGCGAGGAAGCCATTCGTGTGACTCCGCCTCCGATGTCGCCGTATCTAAATGGTAACGAGGAAGAGTACGATGGCGCCACTGACGAACTAGAAGAGATGGAGAGTGTGACACGCGTACGACTCGTGCAGTTCCAGAAGAACACCGATGAGCCTATGGTAAATCGTAATAGTATAATAATAATATTATAATAGTAATATAATAATAATATTAATAATAGTAATATTTAGTAATAGTATTAGTAATATTATTAGTTTAAAATAGTAATAATAATAATAATAATAACATCCTGCACAAAATTCTGGATTGAATCCCTATGTCCCAGGTTGGAACACGGCAAACCCAGAAACCATCGGCTAATGCCGGGATCCACTTTGGAAATAATATTAATAATAATAATAATAATAATAATGGTAATGATAGTGTAAGCACTGCTTTCCCTCCGTGCACCCTGTGGGCAGGTGGTGTACATACGAGTGAAATTTCTGCGTAGAAAATACATTGTAAATTATTCTCACGTATGAAGTAGAAGTCGCAGCTGAAAAGAACGCCTGCACGTAGGGTCAGAAACACCGAAAATAGTTAGGAGGTATCATAAGGTGTAGTCTCGGATGTCGTAGCTTTTGTACAGCTCTTCGTGGGCATAACATCTTGTATTATATACAGTATGTCATATCGTATCACTTGTCATGTTTGATTTTTGATGTTTTTTTTTACAACGGGTCTCTGGGTTCTATACTTGGATTCCACCCACGTGATTTCATGTAGATGCACGTCATTTTACCTTTATTGCCTTCATGTGACGGTTTAGTAGAGTTCATTTCGTCATCGAGTGTGTGTGAGAATTGATAGAGAGATATATAGAATTTGTAGGGCTGTACACGTGCGTGTGAGCTCATGCATCTGTCATGTTATATACGGGCGTGTGTCTGTAGTGTAAGCATACTCCTGTTCGTACAGTTTTCTTTACCGTTTTATTCCATCTATATATTATGTTCGCGGCATACATTAAAATATCTTCGTCATTTTATATACTAATATTATATCAGGGATTACGGCGTTGCGCACGAGGCAATCTGAATCATAACATCGGCTTTCGCAAGAGAGACACTCGATCAGCAGGCGTGCCGGGACCGCGAGCTTAGCGAGCTGTCGTAAACAAAATTTTAATTAGAAAATGTATGCGGCGACGTCTTGCGCCCGTCGCATCTCGGCGCTGCTGCAGCTGCGGGCCGGATTATTTCGGATTATTTCGGATTATTTTGGTTCGGTTCGCTCTAATTCGGACGTTAGCTGCTGATGTCTGCTGATGTCTACGTCAGCATCGTCTTCCGGGCTAAATACGCATGGCGTCTCTCATTAAGTGGATGTTAGTCGGCGGAGAGCGGGAGATATACGGTTACTGTCGTGCTTCCATTAGAGAGAAAAAAGCTATGCGGCGGACATTCGAGCCGGCATGTTGATGGAGAAAGAGGAGGAGGAGGAGGAGGGGTGGACAGGAGGAGGGGGAGGAGCAGGATGCGGGATGAGAGTGAGAAGAAGGAAAGAGGAGGAAGGAGGAAGGCAACGGGGGAGAGGCGGATGAGGAGGAGAAGGAGGGGAGGGGGAAGAAGGCAGAGGGTGGACCAGGAAGAGGGACGGGGAGGAGCGGGAGAGGAGGAGGTGGAGGAGAAAGGGGTGGAACAGAGCAGGGGGGAGGATGAAGGAGGAGGAGGAAGGGAGGGGGAGGAGGATGGGTGGAAAGGAGGAGGGGAGGAGGCGGGATGAGGAGGAGGAGGAGGAGGAGGGAAGGGGAGGAGCGGGGATGAGGAGGAGGAGGAGAGGGAGAGGAGGGGTGAGGAGACGTGTAGGCAAGAGGTGTGTGTACTACATTGCGCGTGTGTGTGTTTGTGATTTACAGGGGATCACTCTGAAGGTGAACGAGGAGGGGAAGTGCATCGTGGCCCGGATCTGCACGGGTGGAATGATACATCGGCAAGGTAAGCGTTTCAGCTGGTGCTACTGGTGCGCCTTGCGTGCATATGCGTGGCACGCCGTCTGAAGTGTGCGTGGCGTTCGTATAGGTCGGCGTGCGCATTCGTGCGTCTGTGCGTGCGTGCGTGCATGTTCTGTACGTGCGTGCGTGCGTGTGCTGTACGTGCGTGCGTGCGTTCTTAAACTGCGTGCGTGCGTGCCCGTGTCTGTGACGATGCGTTGTCATTGTGTTCGTACGTGCGGTGCGTGCGTATGCGCGCTGTTAGTCATGTTTACCATTCGCATCAGTTTCATAAACAGCTTTTGTCATCGCGAAATGGATGCGCGCAATTAGGACTCCCCAACATGGGTTCAATTCAGCCATAATAGTGACAG